CAAATATGATTCAAAACTGCCACCAAGATGACATTATTCTTGCATATTGACATTTTTCTGGTGATCAGAGTGGAGTTGATGACTCTGGGAGGTGGCTGAGGCGACAAAGGCCATCAACTTTTTTTTTACTTTTTTTTTGTTATTATAATGTTTTATTTTTCGAATTTTATTTAACATTTATTTCTTCTTTTTTGCATTTTCTTACCATTTCACTATAAATAAAATTATTTAACTATTTTTATGTTTTTCATTATTAATTAGATATGAATTGTATTAAAACATACGAAGCAGTAAAAGTAGAATGAGAATTACTACAGTTGTATAGTATTTAGAGAATTTAAAAATTATACACCATTCTTACAAATTATTTGTTGAATTTCCCAAAACAAAAATGGCAAGGAGTACGCCAAATTATACCGTACACCCGGTTGTATGGTTCTCACCGTACAACTGGGTATTTTTGAAATTAATTACAATTTCAATGGTCGTTGATGTCCTGGGATCGGTGAAAGAGACGCAAACGCCGATCGATTTGCCCGCTCGCTGAAGTCTTCTCGCTGGATCTTCGTTCCATTCTCCTTTCTTTTCTCTTCAGCCGCTTACTCATTTTGCACACGCATCTACTTCTAACACTTTTCCTCTTTGATTTGTCCATCACCTTGTACCTTATTCATCCAGAAAAGTGCGAGAAGAATGATACGTATATGTTTGTGGTAGTATATTGAATGGCGGATTGCTCTAATCCAAAATACACGGGTTCTCACTCCGTCCTTGTTACTCTGCAATTTCTGTTGGCTTAGCTGTTTTGTACATACATCTATAGTGGCAGTATCTTTTTTTAGGGGTGGGCAAAAATACCGAACCGGCATGGTACCGAACCGAACCGATATGGTACCGGACCGAAAAACGGGGTTTGAAACGGATCTCAATTTTTTTGTCCCGAACCGAACCGTACCGATTCTAAACAATGCCATGACCGGTTCTCATAAAATGAGAACCGAAACCGGACCGAACCAGACCGAAGTATGATTTAATTATTTAAATTTACATTTATACCATTATTTTAACTAGTGCCTTTACATGTTCACCGTCTTTGCTAGTTCATAGAAAGCCTGGAATCGGACCGATGTATGGTTTAATCTTAATTTGTACTACTATAATTTATCTGAAATTTATTAATTATGTAATACTACCTTCGTCCCAAATTGATTTGCAAAATTAACTTTTTTTTCAAACAAATTCATTTTATTCACTTAACTAGAATGTCAATTTTTTATTATATTTAATTTGGAGCTTGCAACTTTGAAGAAATTTCAATGTAGTTTCTGAATATGTTTATTTTAATTATTAAAAATTGAATTAATTATCAATGAAGAGAATTTAACTCTAACACTGGTTGACCAAAAAATATTGACTTTGCATGTCAATTTGGGATGGAATGATTATGAAAATTGATAAATTGTGTAGGTTTTTGGAGGATGACTAAACTTTAATTGTCTCTTAAACACTTGGAAAAAGTGGCATTGTTTGGTATTGGTATGACATGGTACCGTCCCGTTTCAAAATGAAACTGTACTGAACGGGTTTAGGTCTAAGACTGAACCGAACTGAACCATTTGAATAGTAACGGTACGGGTACGGGTTCGGCTAAATATTGGATCGGACCGGACTGCGCCCACCCCTAATTTTTTTTGTAACTTTTGCTGCCAATCAATTGAATTTCTTTCTCGACACTCGATGATGAGGATTGCCCCACTCCAATAATTTGCTATATGCAGATTGCAGAGGTTAAAAAAACTTCGATTCCAAATTTAATTACTGTGCTTTTTAAAAGAGAGAATTCCTTAAATAGGAGTAAAAACGTTTTGAAATTCCAAAATAGGAGTATCATGTTTTTTATTCCTTGAATAGGAGTAATCTGCCAAGTTTGGAAGAAAATGCCATGTTAAAAAGCCTTGTAATGCCAAACTTGGCAGAAATTTACTCCTATTCAGGGAATAAAAAACATGATACTCCTTTTTTGGAATTTCAAAACGTTTTTACTCCTATTTAGGTCAATTTCTATTTTTAAAACTGTGGATTCGATGCTGCAAACATATTCCATTTTGGATACTCATTTTGTAAGTTATATATGTTCATTTAGTATCTCTGTTATGCTCATTTTGTTATGCTCATATTACATTAGATTTATATAGGATTTCACTATAGACACGACTACACGAGACCACAAATCATTACTCAATCGCAGATTCTAATACTCAATAACGGGGATTTAATGCTCAGGAAAATGTCTTGAATCTCAAAGAATAAAACTTACAATTTTCATATCAATGCTCATCTTGTAAGATACACATGCTCATTTGTATATGTGTGATGCTCATTAATAATTCATTAATGCTCATTTAATATAAATCACGATTTTCATCAATCTCAATAGAGGATTTTTGATGCTGAATAAAAATGTTGTGATGTTCAACCAACAAAGCAACTAACAAATTCATTAATACTCATGTTGTAAGTTACATATGCTCATCTGATATTGATCTTATGCTCATTTTCTAAATGTCATATAAATGCATTTTTTAAAAGTATTATTTTATGATGGACTCCTAATACTCAACATAATAGATTTGATGCTCATTAAAAGTTCATTATTGCTCATTCACAAGAAACTATGATTTTCATCTCAATAGCAGATACTAGATGCTCAATTAAAATGTCGTGATGTTCAACTAACAAACCTTACGATAAAAAATAACAAAAAAAAGTGAATTAGAAGTTATGAAGCAGAGATCACGATTCTGAATATTAGACTCCTAATACTCAACAAAATAGGTCAGGTGCTCATTAAACGTTCACTATTACTCATTCTCCAGAAGTCGCGATTTTCATCTCAATAGTGGATGTTTGATGCTCAATTAAAATGTCATGATGTTCAACTAACAAACCTTACGATTTTCATATTAATGCGCACTTCGTAAGTTATATATGCTCATTTGATAATGATATTATGCTCCTTTTTAAAAAGCCATATTTCAAAAGTATCATATTACATTAGACTCGCATATTGAAATTAATGTCAGTGAATTTTAGATATAATTTAATAAGTTTTTATAGCAGGAAAAAATAGAAGATATGAAGCAGGGATCGTGATACTCATTATTAGCCTCATAATACTCAATACAATATGTGAGATACTCAACAAAACTACACTATTGCTCATTTAGCGGGAGTCATGACTTTTCACTTAAATTACAAAACTGCCACAAAAAAAAAATAGGATGTTTTAATTAAATGGACTGTCTTTCTTAATTGAGACTTTTTTGTGGGCCTTCTGTTGGTTTCCTTTAATTCTATTCAAACTGGGTTATTAAAATTGGACTTTTCTCACCGGTACACCCGAGTGTAGGATATACCGGATGTACTGTTCTCACCGGTACACCCGTGTGTAGGATATACCGGATGTACTGTTCTCACCGGTACACCCGGGTGTAGGATATACCGGATGTACTGTTCTCACCGGTACACCGGGGTGTAGCAGTGGCGGACCCAGAAAAATAGAGTTACGGGGTCCCTACTCTAATGTTACTCTAGTTAATATAAAATTAAAAGAATTACACGATAAACAAAATGCAACATCTTAAAAGAGAAATAACGTGATAAACAAAATGTAGCATCTCAAAACTCTATTTCCCAGAAATGGTCACCTCCAACTTCCCACTCATTCTAAAAAAATAACATGGTAAAGAAAATAGAGCATCTTTGGCAATACTTTTTTTCAACCATTTATGTTTATCAAACTAACTTGAAAAAATCTACGCCTTTTGCACTTAATTATCTTAAAACGGAAATCATGATCCCGAGGGTGAAACAACCCTTCTTGAAGGTAACTGTGGCGTACCTCGTCTTAAACATTAGGACGAAAATCAACAATTTCCCCCCCTCAATCTATGATGAGCTTCCAAAGATTCAAAAATAACATGTTGTTTATGCAGATTATATGTGAAATTACTTTGACTTTCAGCAATTACTTGATTCAATTCTTCATTTACTAATGACAAATCATTTGAATTAACTCTGAACTACACATGGTACTCCAAATTCTTTTAAATCTGGGTACACTATCGAAACATATATTCATCCTAAATCGTAAAATATTGGATAAAAAACATTCCTAAGTACACAAAAACAAAAGAAAAATCTCTAAATAGGACTAAAATATGGATAAAGTTCATAAATAGGACTACAAATGTTTTAATCCAAAAGTATGAATCATTCACTCTTATTTTGGGAAGTTTTAATCAATTTATTCTTTTAATAGTGTTGAATAAGTCTTATTTGAGAAATAAAACATATTTAGTCATATTTGTGAACTTTGTATATGTTTTAGTCCTATATTGAGCAATTTCTTTTTAATCTTAATATTCAAAAAAAGTTTAATAACTAATCCCAAAAAATGAAGTGTGTAAAGGATAAATAATAAAATATGGGAATTGAAAAACCAATAAAAGTTAAAAATGAAATATGGAAAGTTTAAAAAAAGAAAACCAAAAAAAGTGGAGGGAGTCAAACAGTGAACCTCATCAAGAAGACGCGCTTCACTATACCCTGTAATCCCGTTCCGCTGCATAAGCGTTTTGTTTCAAGTGTAGCTTTCCTTATTTATAAACATTTATTAATTAATTTTATATGAAATAAATATACTCCCTCCGTAACTTTAGAATCTTCCCATTTCAAAAGTAGGTAGATTAAGAATAGTGAAAGATGATATGAATTATTGAGGGTATGATGGGAAAATAGTGGAATAATGTGGTGGAATGTAGGATAAATCCAAAAAAAGTAGTTGTAATAGTGTATTATTTTAAGAATTATTGAGGGTATGATGGGAAGATTTAGAAATGGGAAGATTTTTGTGTTACGGACGAAAAAGGAAAGTGGGAAGATTTTTAATATATATATGTGTGTTTTTTGGAGGTGCACGGTCCCAGGACCCCGTGGGACCCTTAGTGGGTCCGCCACTGGGGTGTAGGATATACATACTCCAAGGAGTACAACTTTGCCTACCAAGCATGGTTGATTCAGATAATCGAAGCCTATAAAGCTGACTTGAAACTTCGCCGGGGTCTCAGGCTCTACGACTTGTGAGGATGAAGACTCATCTTATAGCACCCTCAACTTTCCGCTCCTGCTTTTGCTTCCCATTTTCACGAAGTTACAGTAATCGCATTCATAATCTCTTTAATTACAACCATAATAGTGCACTCACTTCCTACCTCCCCCATTCCAGACCTTTCTTTTCGCTCACCATTCCTGCTCTTCGCCTGCCTCCTCTCGCCATGGCATCTTCTACTAAAGCGCCCACTCAGGTCTCTCTCTATCTTTCATTATGTTTGATCAGAACCCATCAAATTTTTTGTGATAATCATTGAGTAATCATGTCGGTTCTTAATTGTCAAGTGCTGTTTTTTTTTTTAATTTCTCTTAAATTTAGGTTGCAAGTGATGCTGGTAATGAAGTAGATGCTTTCCAGTTAATTCAATTTCATCAGGTTTGTTTTTAAATAATCCATGTGGTATTTGTGCGGTACTTATTGTGAAAGAATTTTTCTGTGCTTATATATATTAGACAGATATCGGCGTGGTAAATAAATTAGGATTTGAGGAATTGATGAGGGGCTTATATGGCAGGAAAAAGCTGCCAGACTGCCTCCAGTAGAGGAAGTTAAGACTGTTCTCTATAATAGCAGGCGCGGAGTGCTCTCCACTTTCTCAAAGGTTGTTCTTTTCCTTGCTATGCCTTTCATATCGCCATTTCTGAATGTTCAAACATTAGCATACTCTGAATGAGTAGAGTGGAAATAATTAAAATAATCAGAGCTTGACTGTGTAGGCTCATTTTCTGCCGTGGGTAGTTAGCGGTGACATGATATTGCTCAATTGTAAACTAGCTTAAATTTTGTGATCCATATAGCACATTTTTTTTCCATAAATGTGATGCAATGGGGGAGGGGACCATGGCAGTGGCTTTTCATACTCTCATAGGGTTGTTGTGATAGCGGAATCCCGGTATCGTCTCACGGTGTGTAGAGAAGTTTCTGCTGACTTTGATATAGTAACCTAAGAATGCAAACTAGTCAAAGTCGAGTATGTTTTGTTTCTAATTGAAATAGAAGTGCAAAACAAGAGTAATTTGATAAATTAAAACAATGGAACTGGGCATACAAGGAACAAACACATGGCAAAGGATAAGGAGAGCAAAAGGGAAGTCTTTGAGCAAAATCATGCAACACAAGAGGAAACTAATGAGTTCCTTAAAGTTCTCATGTTTAAGGGTCTAACTAAGGCTTCAGCTCGGCCACTCTTATGGTCCAAGGATAGTCCAAAGCTTGAGTAGTTAAGAACAACCTTGTGGTGTCCCGTTACCTTCTCCCATTATGTTGGTGAGGAAGTAGGATGTGTGTGCTGTTTTGAGAGGCCACCTCAAGTCTTCTTGAAGAGAAAGTAAAAAGACATACAACTGATAGCTTCTCGATATTAAGTGTCACTTACTCATGTTGCATGTTCTACTACAGTGCAAGACGTAGCTTTTTATTACAACTAGTTTGGCTTTCAGAAGTGTGATACTATGATTGATATTTTTGTGCTAAGGACTGCATAGTTGCTGTGATAGGATTTTTAAGGCTTTATGCGCATGAATTTACATGAGTATAATCTTTTTTGTGTAAAATATTGTTATGAGAGTCAATCATAAATGCAATTTCTTTTTACAGTTGCTTTATAAGTGCATTTATGATCTCATATTGACTTGCTACAGCATGTTCATGGTTAGCAGATACATGAAGGATATCCATCAGGTTCCATGGTTGATTTTGCATGTGATGCCTATGGAACTCCAATATTAGCGATCAGCAATTTGGCAGCTCATTCCCAGGTTTATTTCATTCGTTTTGAATTGGATCTGGCTTGGTATATATTTAGAGTCCTCGCTCAGTCACTTTTAAGGAATGTCAGATGATAGTTTCTAAAGAAGTTTATTGTTCTACAAATGTAAAGACAGCATACCTTACAGATCATCATACCCATAAAAGGATTGCTTAGATTGTATAATTGTTGTAATCGGCATCGGCAACTGTTGATGTTATATTGAGGGTCTTTGACAATCTTGTTTTATATCTGTGGTTTGTCATATAAAATACTCCATATCTTCAGTTTCCCTTTTAAGTGGAAAAATGTGTGGTGTGATTCATATTCTTCCATTCCTTTCAAAATAAAATGGGCTGGGAAGGAGTGAATTTTAACCTGAATTCCATTTCAGGATCTCTTAGCTAATCCCAAGTGCTCATTGCTTGTGGCGAAAGATCCTGAAGACAGGACTGATTTAATCATAAATGTGCATGGTGATGCCATTCCTGTAAGTTGTCACTTTTATCTGGCTTACTTTCTTTCTTTAAGTGGCATGTGGCTCATCTTTGTTATTCCTTGTATTATAATGGTGTGCTGTATAATGTAGGTCTCTGACACAGATAAAGATGATATACGTGCTGCATACCTGGCTAGGCACCCTGATGCATTTTGGGCAAGTTTGAGCTGTTAACTTCTACCCAACAGTATTGTTATGGTCTCATGATAGACATCTCTAATTACATTTAGATGTATTTCCTTTATGAAGGTTGATTTTGGAGACTTCCAGTTCCTAAGAATTGAACCCACGATTGTGAGATATTTATCTGGTGTTGCAACAGCTTTATTGGGATCAGGAGGTATGTGCCTTTTTTCCCAACCCTATTGTAGTTATTATTAGCTCTTACCACATCCCTTATTTATCTTTTCTTTTACTGAATACCGAGTAGTGAGTACATAGTACTATTTATTTATCCCATTTTAGGTATAATCTCTTGTTCTTCTGTTTAACCTGCTAAAGTTCCTGCAAATCATATCAATCTTTTTTCTTTCAGAGTTCAGCCAAGAGGAGCTCAGAGCTGCAAAAATAGATCCAATATACCAATTCTCTAAGCCAATCACAGTATTACCTCTTGGTTTCTGTTTCAATGAAGATCTGCATGAAATATAATTTATTATATCTTATAATGATCCCTTCATTTGTCAGTCCCACATGAATAAAGACCACACAGAAGATACCAAACTAATTGTACGGCACTCAACATCTGTCCCTGTAAGTTTGGCATTTCGCTTTTCATATAGCGTATTATCTAATTCATGATAAAATTAGCTGGTAGTGTTTGCGGTACATAGATAAGTTACCTGATAATGACTGGGATTACATTCATAACAAGAAATGCCTAACACTTTAAGTAGTGTGGTCAAATATTGAATCTTTATATATGGGGGTGTTTGGATCTGATTCTTAAAACTGCTTCTGCTCCTTCAGGGAGCAGAAGCAAAAGTTGGAGTGTTTGGGTGAAAGTGCAGAAGTGATTCTAGTGCTCTAATTTACTCATAGAATCAGTTTTTTTAGATGTTAGAGACCAGCTTTAAAACTGATTCTGATTCTAAAAAAGAAGCAGAAGCAGAATCGGTTCCAAACACCCCCTATGTCACAACAGACACCTTTCTGATTCTTGGATGAAATAGTTGTTAATAATTGAGATGCTAGTTAGGCTTACGGTCATTGTATTTTTGTGTTTGTGTTTTTTTTTTCCTATTATCTCAGCTAGTGAGAGAGAGAGAGAGAGCTGGTTCCCAAGCCATTTGCTCATACAATGAAAATGATCTGTACTTCTAGATTAAAAGCTAATCTTTCTTGTGCAGGTGGAGCATGCATACATGCTGGATTTGGACAGTCTTGGGTTCAATGTTAAGGTTACATGGTTTATCAGCTCCATGTCATACATTTGTAGATGATCTGTTGTTTTCCTCTTATTCTGACTCAGTTAATTTTGAGTAATCTTAATTTTCCTGCTTTAGGGTTAGGGACAGCAATGGGCAGGGGTCACTCCCCCATCCCCTGTCCCATTTCAAAAAGTTCCACCCCCCCCATCCTGCCCCACCCCGTTGTCCCCCGCAGGGATGGGAGAGGCAAGGGAACCCGGCGACCACTCCCTAGTGCCAGGACGCCTAGTCGCCGACTGGTGACTAGGCGACGCTGTGACAAGTATGTTTGTTATATATAATATAACTACATGTCTACATATGTTTATATGTCATTTATATATGTTTATATATATGTATTATATATATAGCAGGGGCGGGGCGGGCAGGTATAGGTTTCCCCGTCCCCTGCGGCATATTTTAGCGGGGTGCGAATATCTCACCCACCCCGCCCTGCCCCATTCTTCCCCCGCAGGGTGGGTGCCCGTGGGCCTTTCCCCCATTGCCATCCTTAACTAGGGTCCTATTGATTGCAGAGGAATAAGCTGTGAATACTTTTTTGGGTAAAATGTTATCTTAGAAAATAAGATTGTCAATTTATAATTGTGTACTACTACGTATATAAGGAGCAAATTTTTAGGCCACAAATGCATTAAAAAGAACACGTCTGGAAAATGGCAAAGTTTCAAGGACTGGAGGAGATCATTTTTCAAGGAAATGCAAATTATTTGGGAAAATGTTACCTCCTGGAAAGATACAAATCGTATTAATCTGTTTCAGTTTTTCCTTCACATTTAAAGGTGTGTGTGTTTGTAATGGTACTTTTCTTCAGGCTGAATACCAGGGGGGCACTTTCAAGCTTCGAGTTTCTTTTCCTAGACCAGCAGTAGATAGAAAGTAAGATTACCTGTCCATTCCATTTGCTGTTTCATTTCGTTATCCTTTATCATTGTAGTTGTATTATGGAAAGTGTTATGGAAAGTGTTATTTATGCTAAGTTATCAATAGCTTGGCTCACACGAGTTAAATACAAAATAGCAACTAACGTGTAACATCTCGTGTTAGTCTCTTCCTATCAGGTGATATTTTAGTCTTTTAGTGTGGAGTTTGGACTTATCAGGTTGATGTTTAGCATGAAATATCAAGTTTTAATATGGTATTACAGTCAAACCAAATCATAGGTCTTTTATAGAAGAAGTTTTTGACAGTGAGGGGAGTTTGAAAAGATTATTCAATATCGGCTAAATATGAAATAACAAATTAACATACTAGTGTAAGATTTTGATCTACTCTTCTTATAAGTTTTGCCAACTACTAATACTAAGTTTTTTTACCATTTAATGTAGCACTTATTATATGTCAAAACTTAATGATTTAGAAACAATCCCTTGTTTAAAAGTCAAAACTCTACTAGTCTGTTATCTATGGATTGATGGATCCCACCAGAGTCTATCAATCAAGATATAATGAAAATTGTGGTAAGAGAAGTGTTTGTCCATGCAACACATTTGCATGTATAGGTGTACTTCCCCCATACCTATTTCTTCTGCCAACTCTGACTTGCACGAAAATTAAATTGTTAAAATTTGTGTGGCTGAGATTCTTGCAAAGAGAAAGAGAAATAGTAGAACCTACAAATTTGTTTCGAATATTTTCTTAAAGAAAAGGGGCAACCCTTTTTTGAATGACTAAAGACATGTTTACTTCACGGGTTATTAAATAGTGCTTACTAAGACTCGCGTTAATAAGCGGCGCATAACATAAGTAGTGTTGTAAGCTCATGTTTACTTCAAAATATTTAAAACACCGTTTAACATCAAAATGTCCAAAATAACACTCTATATTCACACACAACATTCATGAACACAAGTATATAATATAAAATATGTGGGGGTACCCATACCTCTAACCCCTTACCCCGGCCCCTATACTCTACCCCAAATTCCACACCCTTGACCCCCTACCCTTACCACAACCTTACCCTCTACCCCTACAACCCCTCCCCTAACCCCTAACCCCAACCCTACTCGTAAGGGTGGGTCGGGGTCGGGTGGGGTCAGAGTAGGGACAGGTGGTATGGTGTAAAGGGGTAGGTAGGGGGTAAGGGTACGGGTGGGTTGGGGTTGGGGTTTGGGGTAAGGGGGGGTAGGGTAGTGGCGGGGGTCGGGGTGGGGTCGTGGTAGGGGGTAAAGTGGTAGGGTTAGGGTAGGTGTGGGGTGGGGTTATGGTCGGGGGTAAGTGGGGGTAGGTAGGGGGTGGGGTCGGGGTAAAAAGGGATATGGGTAGGGTGGGGGGGTCAGGTGGGATCGGGGTAAATAGGTCGGGGTGGGGTAAGGGGGTATGGTCAAGGGTGGGTCGGGGTAGGGTCAAAGTAGGGGCAGGTGGTAGGGGTTAAAAGGGCAGGGTAAAGAGGTACGAGTGGGGTGGGGGTGTGGGTAAGGGGTATGGTCGGGGGTTGGGGGGTGGGGGCGGTGCGGGGTCAAGGTAGGGTTAGGTGGTAGGTGGTAAAGAGGTAGGGTAAGTGGGGTAGGGCGAAGGGGTTGAAGGTATGGTCGGGGGTACGGTAGGGTAGGGGTAAGGTAGGATGGATTAGGGTGGGGCCGGGGTCGGAGTGGGGTCGGGGTAAGTGGGGTAGGTAGAGGGGTAACAATAGGGTAAGGGCAAGTGATAATAATAGGGTAAATTCGGAAAATGAAAAAGCTTAAAGTGTTGCTTAATTAACGCATAGGATGTTGTATGCTTAGTAAGCGACACTTTAAGCACCTCTTTCGGTTAGTAAGCGGCTTTTTAAGCAGCTTGCGTGTTTACTCCACCTGTCTTACTAACCTAACTGTGACTTTAGCAGCGAAGTAAACACCTCCTAAGTAAAGTTGGCAAAAGAAATACGGGGACAGTGGGTGTAATACATTGAGGTTCACATTTTTTGGGATGTGAAAAGCATTTTTCTTGCTCTTATTCTCGGTTCCAAAGACTAGTCTCACTCTACTACACATATATGTGCAGGGATGTGAAGACACTGATAGTTGAAATGCTTGAAGCTGCAAAAAATCAAGGTGTTTGATTCGCAAGTTGGGGTTTGTGCTTTCTGATCTGTTATATGATATGAAAATGTGATATATTGGGCTGATGATAAACAAACGTTCAGCAAGTGTATACGAAGAGAAGAAGAGTTGGCCAATTGGGTTGGTGTGTTCATTATAGTTCTTGTTTAGGAATACACAATCATCATTTATCTTAAAATTGCAATGTTAATCAATCCTGTACTGAGATTTGACTGTAAAATCGTCATGACCCACCCCCTCTTTTTTTTGACGTTTTTGCACATATAGAAGATTTAAATCTGCGGCTTTGGACTTTATCCTATCATTATTCTGAAAAATGCTACACTCATTACTTTAGATATCATCTTATTTTTTGTTCTCAGAGACTGGTGCACTATCAGCACGGGTATGAGAACAAAAGTAAAGGTTTTGTCTTAGTATTGTATTTGTAGCATTAATCCGTTATTCTTTTGCAACAATTTAGACGTCTACATACATGAATGGTGTGTAGATCAGTGTTAGCTAGTGTTTAATTTTGTTTCAACTAGCTTTTATCAAGTAATTGACATTAGAAGAGACTTTTATCTGAAGATGTCAGTGTCCCACGAATGAGTAAATGACAATAGTTATCCTCCGGTAGTTCCATGTGGGAAATCGACTCATCATGCTTGGAAAAATGTTACCTGAGGATTTGCCATTCAACGTTAATTTATCTTTCTTAGTCTTAGAAGAAAAATGACAATCACTCCCGCCAATGATATAATAAGAAATTGCCCTTAATATGATTAAAGCATGCCAAAAATGGAAAATTGCTCAATCAGTTCATTTACTATTTCAAAAAAGTCAATTGAGTCCAGATACTATTTGTCTATTTCTTTAACCAATTAAGTCTATTAAGTTACAAAAAAGTGACCAAATTTGCCTTTTCCCAGTAATTGACTGGTTTCCTTGTTAATTTGCCTACGTGGAATCATGGATCATCCACGTGGCTTTTTCCTTGTAAGCGCTGATTTGGCCGTCCATGTGGCATAAGAGCCTATTTTTCCTTTTTAAAAAAACGTCTTTCTTCTTGTTCCTTGCAACTCTTCGCCTTTCTCCCCCTTTTCTTCCTTATTCTATTCGTCTCTCCCTTCTTCTTTCTCTTTTCTTTCTTTATTCTCCTCTTTTTTCTTGCTTCTTCCCCCCTCTACCTCTCCACCTTTCTATCGTCGTCGACCTCTGTCGCCGTCAACCCCGCCGACCTTTGCCGCCGCTGTCACCATCGACGTTGAGCTCTGCCGCCTTCTCCATCGTCGTCTCGTTGCCAATGAAGAAGAGCAAGAGTTTTTGTCAGGATTCCATTGAGTTGCCTTCTCTGGGCATGAAAGAAGGGGGATAGAAGGTTGGGTGGAATGGTGGATGAGAAGAAGTGGAGTGGAGAAGAAGAGAAAGAGGAAAAAGAAAGAGGAAGAGGAAAGGAGAAGGGGGCGCGCAAGTTTGCAAGAACGAAGGGAGGGGGAGGTTGAATTGGGTGGGGCCGTGGGGTAGAAGCAGTGGGGAAAAAGAAGAGATTGAATAGGGGATAAGGAGATTGGAGAAGAAGGTGAAAAAAGAAAAAAAGGGAATGAAGAGGGGGGAGTTGCAAGCGGCGGATGAATGGGGGATGACAAACCAGAGGGAAAAAAGGAAGAAGAAAGAAAATTAAAAGGGAAAAGAATGCAAAAAAGGGAAAAAGGAAAAAGTATAAAAAAGCTTAAGTGACATTCATGTTAGGGATAAAAAGGGTCACTTGTTGTTTACCAGTTAAATGACAAAATTGGTTAAAATTTGAGACTTTGTATACCTAATTGATTGATAAAATAGTACATGGACTCAATTGACTTTTTCAAGATAGTACGTGGAATAATTTGATAGTTTTTCTTGTAAAAAAAATCATAGTTGGACTAACCATGTTTTGTCCCCCTAATAGGAGTAAAGCAAAATGTCTCACTAAACTGTATGCACTTCTTTGTTATGAAGCAGCAATCAGTTAGTCCATGCAATTTTGGATGCGATTTTTACTATGGGTCATCTGGAAACAGTCTCTCTGTGCTTTAGTACAGGGGTAAGACTGCGTACATCCGACCCCCCTATATTGGGGTAAATGAAAATGATGATGAGGATTACGACATGTCAAAAAAGTCATTATAGGACTTACCATGTTTTGTTCCCATAATAGGAGTTATAGGCTCCTATTTTAGGTTTTAATCGTTTAGACAATATCCAAAATATGCTTGATCGAAGTTAGTTACCATTAAGCATATGTTACATGCCGTTTGCCATTATTTGTGTTCGAAGCCATTTATGACTTTCCTTTCACATCTGCCTGGTAAGCCAATTTTCGTTTTTCACTCAGATTCTCTATCATCACTAGTTTCCTAAATTAATTGGACATCCTTTAGATTCAATCTACATAATCATTCGTTGTTTTTTGCATTATGCCACCATTGATTTCGCTTGGAGTACGGTCACCTTAATACCTTATAGCTGACTCACCAGTGCTTTTGTTTGCAAAGTACGACTTTCCTGCTTTTAAAAATAGCTTATGATGGCCATTCTTTTTTTTATTCGTTTGTCAATCCTTCATCAATCGTTGGTTAATTTATGTCGCAATTGCTTGTAGATTCCTTTGACAATATGCCAGGTCTATACATATAGATACACATATGTTGTGCTTTGGTTTATTCTTCAATTTCATATTACAATAGTTTCATAATATAAGCGATTTGCATTTGATGAAAAGAATCGTGTTTTCCAAAAAAAAAAAATAATATAAGCGATTTGTAATTCATTTTTATCAACAATTTACTTCCTATGCTTTCATGAACATTATCAGCCCATATTTCATCAAATTTCATTGTATTTGACCTTCTTCGATTTCTGTTGATGTTTTTGTTAAAGTCTTTGTGCTTGTAAAAATAATTATGTCCTTAAAAACTGTCATTTTTGGGATTGATGTCATTTATGTGCAATTTGTGGATTTTCTGTTTTATGTTGTTTTGTGGTGTGTAATTCTAAATAATACTACCTTCGTCCCATTTTTATTGAGACGTAAGAGGGTAGCACGCGTTTTAAAAAAAGTGAGTTTGTGTGGTTGATATTAATTGATAAAGTAAGAATAAAGTAAGAATGATTTTGAGCCACACAAACTTTACCAAATAAGGTATGGAACAATTAAATAGGGACATCCCAATAAAGTAAAACGAGACATTAAAAAGGGGACGGAGGGAGTAGTTACACATCCTTATAAACTGTCATATTTGTTACCAGAATTGTCACGTCGTTGTCCTAACTGCCTTGTTTCATATATTTGTCATACTGAAATAATTCTTTTGCTGCATTTTTAAGAACCTTTTTATCATAATGGATCCTATTTGATTTGTAATGGTCAAGGTGGTTGGTATTTGGGATTCTGACTATGTGTTCATCAATGTCCACACATGTGGTCTTCATGTTAACTATGATAAAGACGACTGCTACTTTGCCATAATCAAGAAGTGCACCACAACTAAAGAAAACCGAAGAACAGTCTATTCACCCCCCTCTAGACAGTTTCTCTGTTATTAACTAAGGCCAACAAGTCGTATCAGAGTCAATGGTCATGGGTTCGACCCCTGGCAAGAGCATGTTGTGCAGTTGAGGCTGACAGGTGTTGGGGTGATTGTTGAGCCGCGGGGATGCAATGCCAGCAGTTCTGCCAGCCTGCCGGTGCAATCGAAATGTGGCGCTTTGCCTGTTCAATAAGGGGAGAAACTATCAACGATTACTTTTAGTACATTGTTAAGTTTCACATTTTATTTTTGGTCAAGACAAAATATTCATCATCCGTTGCTTGTGTCCATAAGGGCTCCCTCAAACCTTGACTAATATTTATGGGATCAAGGTGTTATACTAGGTATTAGAGATGGTGAAGAGTAGAGACATTGATTAAAGGACCAAACTTTGTGGGATTTGGATGACGAGCTCAAGTGAGTTGTTGTAACAGAAACGAGAAAAACAAATAAAGAACGATAAAGAGAACAACACACAGATTTACGTGGTTCACTAACGGTATGTTAGCTACATCCACAGGGCAGAAGGGAGGAGAGTTTTATTATGTTTGAGGAGTTTTAGATTACAGATCCTGAGCTATATGATTTCATGTGCTGCTAGGCTTAGGCTTAGAGAGTTTATATAGTACTCTCTAAGACCTAATATACAAAATCTAGAAGAGGCCCAAAATAAATAAAATAGGCCCAAAACAGAATCCTAGCCCAAACCAGTGACTAAACAGATTCAAGGCATAATTCCAACAAATCTCCACCTTGACTTGAATCCTCTCACAATCAGACAGATGTACCAGATGCACCCCCATAGATGTCAGATGTACCAGATGCTCTCCTCCCTTCCCCCTCAGATATTGCCCCTAGAAGCAATCAGATGCTCTGAATGTTTAGCAAGTCCAAACAGTGTTGGAACTTGTTTTGCGGAACTGGCTTGGTAAACATATCAGCTGGGTTATCTGCAGTACCCACTTTGTTCACCCTTATTCTCTTCTCATTCCTTAAGAAATGATATCTAACGTCAATATGTTTAGTTCTCTCATGATGCACTTGATCCTTGGCCAAACAAATTGCACTAAGACTATCACAGTACACAATAGCTTGATCTTGATGTAGACCCAGATCATTAATTAATCCTTTCAACCATATTCCCTCTTTAGCTGCTGCAGTCAATGCCATATACTCAGCTTCTGTAGTAGATAACGTTACTGTAGGCTGCAAAGTAGCCTTCCAACTAACGACCGAACCACCAAGAGTGAAAACATAACCAGTCATTGATCTTCTACTGTCCACATCTCCAGCATAATCTGAGTCAGAATACCCAGACAATAAACACTCTGTATCACCTCCATAAATGAGACCAACATCAGATGTACCCTTAAGGTACCGAAAAATCCTCTTCACAGCTTGCCAATGTTCTTTACCTGGATCGCCCATGAACCGGCTCACCACACTAACAGACTGTGCTAGATCAGGCCTAGTACAAATCATAGCATACATCAAACTCCCTACTGCATTGGCATAAGGAACCCGAGACATGTATGCCTTTTCTTCAGCTGACTTAGGTGCAAAAGAAACAGATAGATGTGCATTTGATGCACTAGGAGTATCTATGGATTTAGCTGTAGACATGCCAAACTTGGACAATACTTTCTGAATATAGCTTTTCTGTGATAAGAAAAGCTTCTTCTTGCTTCTATCCCTGTAGATCTCCATTCCCAGAATTTTCTTCGCTGCACCTAAATCTTTCATTTCAAACTCAGTACTAAGGAGACCCTTCA